AAGAGGAAGGACACGAACGTGCGCGGCGCTTTGGCGAGAGCCACATTTTGAAAAGGAACCGGCCTTAATCCGTGACACTCTTGCAAATGTTATAAATACATGTGCGCGGCGCTAAGGCGAGAGCCACATTTTCAAAAATACCCGCCCTCAATGCGTGAAACTCTTGCGATCCATGTTAAGAACGAATGTGCGCGGCGCTAAGGCGAGAGCCACATTGTGAAAACGACCAGCCCTCAATCCCTTGAAATTTTTGCAAATGTTTAAAACGAATGCGCGCGGCGCTAAGGTGAAAGCCACATGTTGAAAACGACCCGCCCTCAATCCGTGAAACTGTTGTCACTTTTTAAGCTCCAGAGTCGTAGATAGTGGGGAAGTCTCAGGCAAAACGCCCGGCCCGCTGTAAAAAAAACTTCGGTGTGCGACAGGGAGGAGTTACCTATAAGGAGAAGGAATGGAGAAAGAGGAGGAGGAAGAGGAACAGGTGGAGGAGCAGGAGGAGGAGCAGGAGAAGGAGGAGGAGGGCGAGGAAGGGGATGAGGACCAGCAGCGCACGGGGGGAGGAGGCGGAGGCGGAGGAGGAAGAGGAGCGCCGGCGGCTTGCTTTGTTTCTCCACGACCCGGGGGGGCTCCTCCGCCTGTTCAAGTTTCTTGCGCCCCTCTCTGTCCAGCAGTTGCCTGCAGCCGCACGGAGGCCACACCGCCTAGGTCCGCTGCATCGTTTTGGTTCTGCCGCTCAGACGCTGCGATCATCAACCGGTCCGAGTCCGTGCAACGTCAAGATTAGGACGAGGAGAAGGAGCGGCGACGGGAGGAGCAGCATCAGTAGGGACAAATCATAGAGGCACTTGTTACCGTGGATGCCGAGGCAAATGCGGACATGGATGGGAAGTGGTGGGGGAGACGACCATCCAGAAGACGTGGGGAACTATAGGGGATCCTGGGACATGAGTCTATTGAGTGTGTTTATGTTTGTGTGTGAGTGTGTGTGCGTGTCTGTAACTGTTCCTGTGCCTGTGTCTGTGTCTGTGTTTGTGCGTTTGTGTGTTTGTGTGGTTGTGTGTTGGTGTGTTAGTATGTTGGTATGTTGCTGTGTTTGTGTGCTTGTGTGCTTGTGTGTTTGTGTGATTGTGTATTTGTGTGTTTGTGTGCTTGTGTGTTGGTGTGATTGTGTTCTTGTGTGCTTGTGTGTTCGTGTGTTTGCGCGTGCATGTTTGCTTGTCTGTTTGTGTGCTTGTGTGGGTGTGTGCTTGTGTGGTTGCGTGTGTGTGTGTGTTTGTGTGTGTTTGTGTGTGTGTGTGTGTTTGTGTGTGTGTGTGTGTTTGTGTGTGTGTGTGTGTTTGTGTGTGTTTGAGTGTGGTTGTGTGGTTGTGTGTTTGTGTTCTTTATGTGTTTGTGTGTTTGTAAATTCTTCACGCTTCGCATATCCCCACCAGCCCATCTCAAAACAGCAACTCTAGCGAAGCATGCCGACAGTCGTGTTTTTCAGGCGTGTTTCCGCCTGCCCCCGCATATCTCCCCTGTTCCTCCTTCCTCCCGCCTCCTTGTACATCCTCCTTGTGGTGGGAGCGGGAGAAGGACGAGGCGGAGGAGGAGGGAGAGAAAGCGCTCCTCGTGGTTTGAGTCGTTCGGGGTTTCTCGTCCTGGTGTGAGTCGTTCGGGCCCTTCTTCCTGGTGTGAGTCGTTCGGGCTCTTCGTGGTGTGAGTCGTTCGGGCTCTTCGTCCTGGTGTGAGTCGTTCGGGCTTCTCGTGGTGTGAGTTGTTCGGGCCCCTCGTCCTGGTGTGAGTCGTTCGGGCCCCTCCTCCTGCCCGTCCAGAAACGACGCCCAGGCGAGTAGAGGGTCGTCCTGATGGGCTTTTCGGCGTCTTGGGTGCCTCGGGGGGGCCTCTTTGGGCCGTTTGGGATCCTCTTGGGGGCCTCCTGGGGGCCTCTTGGGGCCATCTTGGGGCCTCTTGGTGCCTCCTGGGCGCTTCTTGGGGCCATCTTGGAGGAAATCGATCAAAGAAGAGGGGAGCTTTAATTAGCGCTGCCCCCTCAGAAGGCCAAAATGGTGCCAAAACCTTAGTAAAATCAATGATTTTGGCTTGAAAGAAGAGGGGAGCTTTAATTAGCGCTGCCCCCTCAGAAGGCCGAAATGGGGCCAAAACCGTAGTAAAATCAATGATTCTGGCTTCAAAGAAGAGGCGAGCATTTCCGTCAGTCCCCCCGTCGGGGCCACGATCCTCGTGAGGGGTGTCGAATTTTTGCCCTCCCAGGGGTCGGAAAAGGACCCTCCAACCACCCGCGAAAGGCCCCCTCCAGGTCCAGGGGTAGGGGGTAGGGGGAGGGGTAAACCCCTCCCCGAAGGGGAAGAAGGGGGTTGAGAACAGAGAGAGCTCGCTAAACCACTCACGCCCAAAGGGCTGGTGGGATTTTGTGTGTCCCTGGGCCCCTTTCACCTTCAAAGGAAGGGAACAGGGAGGGGCAGCAGCAGGCGGCATGAATTATATGGAGCGGCCCACCAGCACGCTTCCGGAGGGAGGGAGGAGCGACCCCAAGACCCTACAGCACCGCTTTCAGAAGTCAGGACGGGCTGTTTTGTCGCCGCTTTGTCACCGTGGTGCATGTGCTCGGCTCCGGGGCCATCGCAGTACAACCCAGCACGAAACGCCAGCCCCCAGGACGTTGTTCAGATGTCTGGGCCTGGGCCTGGGTACCTCGCATTTACAATAACAAAACATCGGAGGCCTTGGACTCCACCATCATGGGGCGGGCCGCTTCCAGCGAGCAGGTCCAATGGTCGCCGCTCGGACGTGTGTATACCATGCTTTTTGTGCACTTCTGTTTGGATGCACGCAACTTTGCTGAACCGTGAGAAATTCAATTGCCTCCAGCAACAAAAAACACACACTCACGGACGGAGGAAGAGGAGGAGGGCGGGGAATGGGATGAGGACGTGTCACCGAGGGGCAGGAGAAGGAAAAGGGCGGGGAGGGGAGGAGGAGGAGGAGGAGGAGGAGGAGGAGGAGGAGGAGGAGGAGGAGGAGGAGGAGGGGGAACATGAGGAGCAGGAGGACGAGGGGCAAGGAGGGGCAGCAGCAGGTGGCACGATTTTGGTTAGCTGCTCCTGTTTCGACGGGGCCCGACTCGCAAGCCCGTTGGGCAGACGTACTGTTTTTTTGGCTTTGTTTGATGTGTTTGCGCAGTGGATCACAGCTTGGTTTGCCGTTGCTGGGAGTACATGCTAAAGGTTACATGGGCCTGCAGGTGGAGCCACGCAGATGCAGCGACTGAAGGCTTTACCCAGAGAGAGCTCCCCAAAAGGGCCACAAGTCCGAAGAGGACCCAAGGCACCCTCCAGATACTCCCACGCGGCCCACAACGCAGGCCCAAGATGGTCCCGAGAGCTTCCGAGATCAGCCCAGAGAAAGATTCGCGAACCAGCTTCCTGGAATCCCGAGGCAGACCCAAGACCCCCAAGAGGCCGAGAGCTTCAAGGCGCCCTCGAGGTGGAGAGGGGCCGCCCGCGAGGGCCCGCCCCACGAGGCCTGCCCGCCCGCGCGCCCTTCTGGGTCCACCTGTAGCCTTACGTCGGGCCTGTCCGTCTACAGGAGGAATATTCAAAAGTAGTCGAACATAGTCTGGGGACGATTTTGACTGTGTGCCATTTTTCGTCCAAAATCTGCACGCCCGACCTGACCGTGGCCGTCAGGATCCGCCCGACCGCCCAGCAGAGTGCGCCCACCCGCCCGCTTTTTCTCGTCGTGGGGTGACGTTGGCGGGGCGAGCGAGGGGGGGAAGTGAGGAGGAGAAGGCCTTGTCGGAGGCCCGCCCATATCATCGTGGGGTGAAATCGGCGGCGAGCGAGGGGGGGGAATGAGGAGGAGAAGGCCTCGTCAGAGGGCGGCGGGGCTTCTCAGGGGCCCTCCGGCCATCTGAGAGGTTTAGAAAACATGTCCTCGGGGAAGGCTTAGAAAACTTCTCAGCAGGCTGGGTGACTTCTGGCTTTCTGGGAAGGCCCGCCCCTTCTCGTTTCCCCCCCCGGGCTCGCCGCCGACAAGAGCATGTCCGTGTTCGCGGCCTAGCGGGCCGGGCCTGTTGGGCCGCGACCCCGCGGACGCGGGACGCTGCTTCGCGCCCCAGGATCCAGACCGCAAGGGCGTGGATGCGTACAGTGGAGACCTATGCCAAGAAACACCTTGCTTGCCTCCAGGGTACCCTGGGTTTCCTGGGTCTCGACGGTTTTGCTGTGGAGAGTGCGACGCTCCCACACCACAGAATCGATGGACGCCCTCTGGTCTTAGGGTTGGGTTTCTTGCGGAAGGTCTCTTGTGGATTGAGCTCCATTGTATGTTCGCCGCCAGGGACCGCCCACAAGCAGTGGCGAAGCGTCCTGGCTTTCTGGTAGGCACACCAAAGAATGTTCTAAGACCTTATTTTGGTTCGCACGAACTGTTCCTAGAACATTTCTGGCTGGGACTATCTTGTTTGACACATCGGCTTCATGTTCTAAGAACATTGCTTTGTTTTTCTTGTAGAACATGTTCGGGTTCTGAGAGCATGTCGTGGTAGGACTATAGGAATGCCAGGACAGTCGGCCCCCGCTCACGTTCCAGGCACGTGGGCGCCTTTCAGCTTCTTCGCTCCGCTCCGTGGCCATCTCGGCTCGAGCCCCCCGTGGCTCGAGCCGTCCAGCGGCGGGGAGCGGGGCGCCCCCACCCGCCCGCGGTAGCGCGAGCCTCCCCGCCCGCGCTCGCGCGCGGCCTGCGAGCGGGGCGCTCCCCTGCGCGCGCGCGCCCAGGCGGCTCCGCGGCCCCCGCCGTTCGAGTAGAGGATCGACTACAGAATTGAGCTACCCCCCACATTTTGGTTTTCTCGTCGAACCTACGAACAACACGCAGAATATTCGTCAATGTCTGCGGATCATCTGACGCATTTCCCGCAGGTTTGATATCGACAAACCAATCAAGTCTGGAGTAGAGCAATTCGGTGTTCGATTCCCTACTCGAGTCGTTCTCAGCACATGTTTGTGAACAAGCTCCTGCACGTTCTACCCGCGTGGGAGCGGGGCATCGTCCTTGCCCTGGGCTCCGGCCTGTTCCTGCCGTTCGGCGGGGTCGTCGCGCTCGTGTGGAGGCCAGGGCGCGTCGACCGGCAGCTCTCGAGGATCGTGGCGTTCTCCTCCGGAGCGCTCATCACCGCGACCTTGCTGGAGATCTTCCCGACCGCCTTCTCGACCACGGTCGACGAGGGTTACGACAAGCAGTGGAGCTATGCGTTATGCACCTCCGTCATGTTTGCCTTCGTTGTCGCCACGATTCTTGGCAAGATTGTGTCCGAACAGCCGGCGATCCTCATCAGCAAGATGCTTGAGGCGGTGCGCAGGACGAAGGACGCGGACATCCACCTGGAGAGAGACAGCCAAGGCGCGAGGGTGGCAAACAAGTTCATCAGTGATTGGAGGGGCTTCGATGATGAACGCTGGCCGCCGAGGCGAAGCAGTAGGCTTAGTTCCTCCTCCAAAGCTGGGGGTCGGGTTCGTACGTCCCGTGGGAGTGCGACTGAAGGCATGCTGGCTGCGCAGAGGATCGTCGACAGCTTGCTCAAAGTCGCGCGAGATCAGGGCGACCTTCGCAGGACGCTAGACGATCACGCGGGGCAAGACGTGGTGGAACGGGGCAGCTTCACCCCCCAGGAGTTCTGCAGATTCGTGCTCGACGTCACCAAAGCCGACGACTCCGCGTTCGCCGAGCCGCTCTGGGAGGAGCTCTCCCAGGGCGGGCCCACCCTGGAGCTGCTGGCGCGGATGCTGCAGCCCTTCTGGGAGCTGGCCCGGCAGCGGCACTCCGTGAGGACCTCCTCCACGGGCGGCCTGATCCGGTCGCTTCATTTCGCTCAGTTTGCCAAAGGGCAGAAGCACTCGGAGGACGACGACGACGGGGCGTCGGTGTCGGGGGTGTCCCTCGCCGAGTCGGTGATTCTGTATGCAAGGCTTGACCAGATGGAGGAATTTATCGTGGAGCAGCTGGAGCCGGCAATACGTCCGTTTTCGGACCACCTCGCCGCCTTCCTCACCCACGTCCTCACGGGCACCGTCATCTACCACATTTGGCAGGTGGACCAAAAGACTGCCACCGTCTTCGCGGTGATGAACGTTCTGCGCAATGTGCCGGAGGGATTATTGCTGACTTCCAACGCCATCTCGAGCCTAAGTGGCAGTCATTGGGCGATGAACATGAAGATGACCTTTAGGGCTTTCACAGGTAGCCTCATAATCGGTTTAAGCGAAGGTCTGGGAGCCGGCTTGGCGTCTCTCATGGCGTTTGAGAGCGTACAATGGCCTCGCGAGGTCTTTATCGTGATGCTATTGGCTCTTGGTGCCACATTTATTTACGCGGGCGTCTGTTGTTACATGAACAAAGCCAAAGAGATCAACCCCGACAAAGAGTTCCCGTCGTATTCGTTCATGGTGGGCACAACAGTGATGAGTTTTGCCATGGTCGTTGTTGATGCTGGGCCTTTGAGAACAGGCGAAACCCTTGGGAGAGCTGGCACCCTCAGCTCGCAATGACTACAGATCACAAGTGCGAGGTAAGGCACATGCCCGTGGCCGTGCCATAGCATCTGAGTTCGTCTTCCGCTCTCGAAGAAGAGGGGCTGGTGAAGGCCAGCTGGGACTACTCGGGGGCTTGCTGAGGCCAGCCAGGACTGCTTGGGGCGGGCATTTTTCCACCACCACTACCATATGTAGGACGGGGGAGAAGGGAGGATGGGGAGGACCTCCTCCTCTCCACCTGCCCCTCCTTCTCCTCCTCCCTCTCCTACCCATGGTAGTGGTGGTGGAACATCAGCAGCCCATCAAACTGCGGGGGGGAGCTGTCTGCGCGCAACAACCCAAAGCCTTACCATGTGGAGCCCACGTCGTGGAAAAAAAAACGGTGTCGGAAGTCTGAGGTAGCGAGATTTGGAAGTTGGTGCATTCACATCCGAATTGACGTCTGTCGCCACCGAGGGAAGATGGTCTTGACCTCGGTGATGGTGGTAAGATTCGGCGTTCCTAGGCGGCCGAAATGTTACAACCAGCACGTACACCCAGACATGATCGCGTCGCAGCAAGAATCAGGACGGGAGGTTTCAAGCCAATTTCGGCCTCGGGGGGCCTCGCCGGGCCTCGGGATCGTCAAACAACGACTCAGGATGAAACACCGGTCCCGGGGAAAGGGTCGGGATTTCCAGGGACCCCGTGTTGAAAAAAGCAGGACGTCGCATGTCCGGGTTACAACCAGCGCGCGAACCCAGGATCTCAGTTTCCTTGGGGGCAGCCCCCCGTGGCGGCTTCTGCTTACTGCTCCTGCTGCTCACTTCTGTTGCCCGTGCTGCTCGCCTTTGCTAGGCGCTCGTTAAGGAGCGTCCCCTTCAGCAGACTCCTCCTTCTGCTCCCCTCCTCTCCCGGCTCCTCCTTTCCCAGCTCCTCCACAGACACGGCGATCCGAGATTCTCTCAGGTACCGAAGAAACCCTCCACTTCTGTTCATTCCGCGCGCCTCTGCGCCATGGCTCTACGACGCACCGCGATCTGCGTCACCCTGGGTCTCACTGCTCTTCCAGGCGCCTCTGGCCTGCTGTCCACGCCGGCGGCGTCGGAGGATCGCTGGCCCTGGAGCCGTAAGGCTCCAGGCCTCCCAGATTGGGGTCCGAGCAGATGAGGTCGGAGGATCGCACAGCATAGCCGATGCATCGGCGATGCGGCTCGATATGGGGCCCGATCTTCTCCACGCCGACGGCGCTGGTGCATCGGCGATGCATCGGCGATGCGGGGCGATCCTCTGACCCCATCTAGTCGGAGGCCATCTGGGAGGCCTCTCAAGGCGGAGGCTGAGACGGTGTCGCACCGCACTAGCGAGCTGAGGATTCACGTCACCTCCATTGGTGGCGTGGGCACCACGGGAATAATGGAGGAGATGAAGCAGATGAGCCCCCCGATCGTCACCAACGACCCCATCGACAATGATCAGATCAAGCATGTGCCGTACAGTAAGCTCGTCGGGATGGCTGGCTTCAAGCGCGAGAGGCCCCAGAAAGTCGTTTACCTGTACGGCGACCCCACCCGCGCGATCATGTCCTTGGACAGGAGAGGCTGGTTCATGATCCAGGCCCGAAAGACTCGCACCGACCCGTTCCCGCACCCATTCCCGAAGAACCTCAAGCAGTATGTTGACGACGCGCAGGAGGATTTCTTCCAGTTCGAGAAGCACTTCGACTCGTACTACCAGCAGTGCGATATGCCTGTCGCCTTCCTGCGTGCCACGGAGAAGACCGACCACATCAGGGAGCTGGCCGAGTTTCTGGAGGTGAACTCCACCGAGGCCCGCCGCGTGCTGCAGCCGTGGAAGCCTGCCGCAAGCGCCCTGCAGCTGGAGGATGCGGTGGTGCCCCTCGAATTCAACCCGGACGTCCTGCCGAGCAACAACACGTATTCCGACGTGTCGCCGGAGGTTAAGGCGAAGCTCAGGGGGAAGTTGGCGAGCCTCATGAAGAAGTACGACTCGCTCCCTGGCTTCAAGGCGGCCCCCAAGAAGAGAACCCTCCACTCCCCCGTCGCTGAGCCGACGACCTCTCGGCGGCACGTGTGGCGTAAGACTCCTCCCCCATGGCACGGGGTACCTGTATGCCTGCGTTGTCCCTGGGAGATGGTTGGTGCCCACCCTGGGGCTGTTCTGCGGGGCGCAGGCCAACAGGTGCCAGCACCAACGGCGATCCCTCCTGTCTTGCCCAGGTTTGGGAGCCGATTCTCCCTCCACTCCCTCCGCTGACCTGGGGTTGGGAGGCGATTTCGTGTCCCGGCCAGGTTCGCGGCACGGCCCCTTTTTTGTCCCATTCAGTGCTGACCCAGGTTGGCGCGCCCCCGAGTTGAGTTCGGTACGATCGACATGGGTATGGAAGGAATGGGTACGAAGACCGACAGCAGTTCCTGCCCATGCTGAACAGAGCTCGCTGTCGGCGTCGCCGAGGGCTTTGTCTAACAACGGGTCCTGTCGGTTTTGGACAACCTTTGTTGTTGGGCATCGTGCGCAAGTTTCCCGTACCCACTGCGTGCGTCCAAGCGTGCTGGCGTGCAGTTTCCCCCGGCGAGGCGATCATCCCGGGCAAGGACTGCAACAAGTGAGCGGGTGTCCGCAGGCGTCCAGGAAGGTGACAGGACGGGTTCCATCAGGAGGGGAAAAAACACACAGACAATTAATCGTCGATTCCCATGGGAATATGCGAAAATATGGGAAGTGGGGGGGAAGACGGAAATTCAAAAAAAACGGGGAATCCTGGGATTTGTGTGTAGAAGTCTCGGAACCAGGCAAATTGAGAAATCCCCAAAGGTGGTTCGGAGGTCGTCCTCGTAGTCGTTTCGAAATGGTGGTGTCGGGTCGATTGCGATTCGTTGTTTTCGCGCGCGAGGGCCCGAAGGTCGTTTTCGTTTTGGTGTTTTTCGCGCTGTATGTGGCGAGTTCAATATCGACCTCGCTTTTGTCTGATATTTCGGATCCAGCTCAAAGCAGCACTCATGTAAGTAGTTGAAATGTCTGTTGATGCAGAGTGTGCTAGACGCATCCTCGCCCCATCTCCTCCAGCTTCTCGTTCAGACATTCCTCGACCTACTTTGCCTTTTCGTGGGACCCTACAGCCCTCCATCCTCCTCCCTCCCCCCAGTGCCTTCGGGCCTCCTTGGTCCTCCTCGTAGTTGTCAGAGTTCAATAGATACAAGCCACCCCCGACAGACACGGTGACACGACGTTGGTGACGCTGGCGGTGGAGACGGCGACGGCGACGAGCCCCCCTCTAGAGACACATGAGGGCAATGCCAACAAGGACTTGTTTAGCCCTCCAAACCTTGGGAGCACCCTGAACTGTCCGACAGCACTGAAATAAGGTAGGGAGATTCAGGTTGTTGGTTTCTGGGGCTTGCAAGTTCCCACCGAACCCCAAACGCGTCGGGCCAACGTAATCTCGGGGTAGGTGCATCAAACACACGTGGGGGCCCGATGTAACATACAGCAAAGGAAACGCAGCCAAACGCCAGACGATGGGGGGCGAGTGGGGAGGAGGGTACGGGCGAGGAGGAACTTCACGACAGGAGGGGGCGTAAGAAGGGGGAGCTGCCACAACCATGTTGGCTCAAACTGTTTCGACCTTCGGCCCCATTTTGGGGCGACAGGCTGCTCCGAACAATGAAGCGAGCGCACCGCAGGCCACCTGGCAGTGGCCATGCTAGACAGTGATTCTGATGATTGGAACGCTAGTGGTGGTGGTCAGATCGTCGCGGCCCCTCCTGCATCAGATGCGCAGAGCGACGACGACGACTGGAACGCTGCAGCCGATCCCATCGATCGCCTCCCTGAGCTGGTACCATGTCATGCGATTGTTGCAGTCCATCCTGCCCCTGCTGTCAGTGACGCGTGCGCGCCCATTGCCGACGTTCCGCGACCAGACCTGGCGATGAGAAACAGGTTGCGCCAGAGACGACTAGATGGTTGCAGGGAAATCGTCCACACATATCAGGCTCAGGTTCAGTGCACGTCGAAAGCCAGGTCCTTATTACATGGTGGAGGTAGCAGCAACCATCTTGTTGAGAAGGCTCGGGCAAGTGCGTTTTACTTGTATAGAGGCCTTCGCAAGAAAGTTGCCGACCTTCTTTGCAGTGCAGTTCGTCGGTCTGGACTGGGCGGCTCTGGAGATGACAATTCGAAAGCAGTTGTTTACATCAGGCGCAGGAAATATGATGAGGCCCAGCAGCCTTGCGTCGCCCCGATACCTGCGGGAGTCGATGCGCCTGGCCACGACCTGTTAGCGATTCCCGACAATCGAGGGCACCTCTTGGACAAGCAAGACAAACGCCATAAGGTCATGGTGAGTGAACTTGCTTGGGGACTCATCCTACGACGTCTTCGTGGAGATCGGTCCGAATACCTTGCGCTGCTCGGTCGACTGCCTGCCATCTTACAGACGATCGACAAGAACAATGGTGAGACAGTCGTTGAGAGCTTACGCCTGCAGAACTTCGAAGGCGAGTCCGATCTTGTCGCAGGCGTTGAGAGGGTAGTGAACATCGCGTGTCACGACGAGGGCGCCCCGAATATTCGAGCAGAGCGATACCTCGAAGATCGAGCTGGGCCCTGTGAGACAACGCTCACCCTTCTTTGTCTAGCCCACAAAAAGGCCCAATGCAATGGGGAGTTAAACCTAGTTCAGAAACCAGTTGATTCACATCTTATCAGGCTGCAGTTGTCGATGCAAGGGTCGCACGGCTCGAATGTGATCGACGCCGCCCGAGCGATCATCCAGGAGAGAGTCAGAATCATTTCCGCCGACAGTTTGGGCACTGAGGCGCTGGACAGGATGGAGTCTACTTTGCAGTTGTGCTTATCTGGTTCTACTCCGTACGACCGTTACCGCAGGCATGTTGTATCAAATCCCACCAGCCCTCTGGGCGTAGGTGGTCTAGAGCAGATCCTCTTCCACCCCTCCCTCTTCCCCCTTGGGGAGGGGTTTACCCCTCCCCCTACCCCCTCCCCTGGACCTGGACGGGGGGGGCCGCGGGTAGTTAGAGCGTCCCAGATGGCCCAAGACGGCTCCAAGAGCGCCTCAGAGAACCCAAGATGAGCTCCAAGATGGCTCAAGATAGCGCAAGATCGCTCGAGATGGCTCCTAAGATGGTTCCAAGAAGCCCAAAGACGGCCCCAAGATAACTCCAAGTGGCCAAACAGCTCCCCAAGGAGGCCCCGAAGAGGCCAAAATCGTCCCAAAACCTAAGGAAAATCAATGATTTTTGCTTTCTCGCCTTTTCGCTTCCGATGGCCATCCGAGGCCTGGAGATGGCTCCAAGATGGCCCAAGAGGGCCCCAAGAGAGCCCCAAAAGAGCCCCAAGACGGCCCCAAGAGCGCCCAAGAGCACTCCAAGAGCGTTCCAAGAGGGGTCCAAGAGGCGATTTTAGGGGCTTCCGAGGGGGGACGCTAATTAAACCCCCCCTCTTGTTTGATCGATCTCCTCCAAGATGGCCCCAAGAAGCGCCCAGGAAGCCCCAAGAGGTCCCAAGATGGCCCCAAAATGGCCCCAAGAGGCCCCCAAGAGGCCCCCCGGAGGCCCCCAAGAGACCCCCAAGAGGCCCCAAGAGCCCCCCCAGATGCACCCAAGATGCTCCAAGAGGCCTCGGCGAGAATGCCTAATCATTGATTCTACACAGGTTTTAGCCACATGGAGGCCTCTTGGGGGGGGGCACGGATTAAGATGACTCCAAGAGCGTCTGGGAGAGCCCAAAATGACCTCCAAGATGGCTCAAGATATCCCAAGATGTCTCATAATGGCTTCCTCTGTGTGCTGCCCACTTCTCTGATCGAGGCAATTCCTCTGGGCATCGTTTCTGGATGGGCTGGTGGGGATTCGCGAAGCGACAACAATTTGTTCTATGGAGATTGGGGCAAGCATGATTTTTTCAGAGTGGTTGATCGATGCAATCTTGGTCGTCCACGGCTGGTTCAGATGCTGTGCACTTTGGGTTTGCAATGCTTGTTGCCGAGACGAGCTTGGAAGGTCTTGCAGCGCAACAATTGGACGGGCAGCGACGCATGTGTGGACCAGGTCTTGCTGCCCACGCTGATCTTCGGCATCTTCCCAGCGGCGTACTGCAGAGTAGCCGACGTCGATCTGGCTGCTGCAGGCGCCTGTGCACGAAGCTCACGGGGGGAGGTCCAGCGGGGGGGGACTTTCGGTGGCCCATCGGTCTCGCCTCCCAATCGGTCGTCTTTCTGGGTCCTCGACCCCCCCCGTCGCTCTCCTCCACGGGGCACCTCTGTCGGGTCTTCGCTCGAGCTCGCCGTCGATATCGTGCCGCGTCCTTCGGCGATCCCCCTTGCGGCGTCGCCGCTCTCGCCCGTCTCGTCCTCTCCCCCTCGGTCGCCGAACCCGCTGGGGGGTGTCGATTGGGAGCGTGGGATCGATGGTGCCGCTAGGTGTGGCCGCCGCTGCCTTGTCCAGTGACGTGCTCGGCGCTGCCGGCTTGGGCCCGTCCGACGTCGGCGACGAGGGCGAGGATGAGGAGAACTTATGGATGGAGGACTCGACCGATCGCAAGACGCGGACGACGTCTTGGATTCTGAGTGGCAGGTTTCAGGATGATCTCGTGTTGTTTCGGGTCTGCCTGCAGAGATCTATGCCATGGGTTCTTCGGCAACTTCGGTCTTCCAGCGTTTTTTTTTTTTCGAGCGTGAACAGCAAGCTTGCTTCTTGCGGGACGGTAGCCGTCATTACCAGGCGATTTTTTTTCAGTACGAAGGCGAGGACAACGGCGCTTTCATGAATGGTATTGGCGACATGGTTTTCAAGGATTCCGAATTCGATCTCGTCAGCTGTCGCACCGAGTCCCAGCAGTTGATGGCATTCCTCATGAGCATTCGGCTGGGCGCTGCCGCGCACGAGCTTGTCATCACCAGATGTCGTAAGCCACCCTATCCAACGTTAGCGGCTCTGGAGTACCCAGAGGTTCTTGATCGGCTGTCCAAGCAATGCCCGAACACATTGGACTCGTACACCAGAGGTTTCTTGTCTTTCTATAAAGCAGACATTCACGGAGCTGGCGCCAGGGCCGAACTTACTTCAGTGAACTTGCTGGCTGATACCGACACGAGCTCGACAGAGCGAAAACATTCAGTCCAAGCCAAGAAAGCGGGTTCAACGACAACGAACAAAAAACACATCATGGATCTGAGTGCAGAGGTGTTCTTCTCGGAGGAGATGTCAACTGGCTTGTGGCGTTCGCGTCCGACTGACAAGGCTGCCCCTCGTGCGCAACCTTCTGGATGTCGAGGCGACCCTGAAGGCGGACATCAGCGTGAGCAGGTTTGTCGCATGGGGCCGTGGCGGGCGTTTCTTCATTGTTCTGGCTTGCCGATCAACCCATCATCGATGGCAGAACTATCACTTCTCTATGGCGGGTTGGACGAAGAGCAGATGCAGTACTACGAGCAGCTCGGTCGCATCATGTCAACGGTAGCTCGCGCTGGTGTACAGCTACGGCCACAGCGGAAACGGCCACGGATCGACGCGCTTCCGTTGGACGATGGCATGCCAGAGGGGTCAGTGGCAGACGAGCCTGAGGATCCAGACGCTGACGACGACCG